AACGGTTGTGTCGGCCACTGGCCGCGTGCACCCTCTGTTTCTGGCCGTCCTGGCTGTGTCTCTCTCCTTTCCAGCCCAGCTCCCTTCTCTCTACCCAATTCTTCCCACTCCTGCCTGCCCTCCTCCTCTCGTGAGCAGAGCAGTTAAGCTAGGGAAGCCAGCCTGCGGGGTCCCAATCCTGGCCGTGCTGCGGGCCGGCTGGGTGGCTGGCTGGCGGGCAACTTCACTTCTCTGGGCCTGTCTTTCGCTCATCTGGAAAATGGTGATAAGTGTAGTCTTCACTCCACGGGGTTGTTGTGAGGACTTAGAATAGCTCAGGGCAAGGACCGGCAGGTGGCGTGGTGGTTAAGGCACTGGACTCTCACGTGGCTTCATAGGAGTGCGGTTCACATCCTGGATGTTGTGTCTTGAAAATCATGCTGGGTGTGTGTGTGTGTGTGTGTGTGCCCCACATCTCAGGAGGTGAATGGAGGAGAAGGGATTGCAGCGTGGCCATCCCTGCTGAGGGGGCAATTTCTCACTTTCCGTCTCGCTGTCTCTGTCTCTCTCCAGTGAGTGCACGCACCCTTTTTAAAAACCCTGAAGAGGAAAGGTTAGCTCAGGGCACGAAGCAAGTGCTCAGTGAACCCTGGCTGTGATTATTACTTTAGGTTTAGCCATAGGGCACTTGCACTCTCCAGAGAGAAAGAGAAAGAGAGAGAGAGACAGGTAAAGTGAGAAATCACCCCCCCCCCAGGGGCATGGCCACGTGACAGTCCCTTCTCCATTCTCTTCTTGGAATTTTGGGCAAGCATGCCATGAGCCTGGCATGATTTTCAAGTACTGAGTCCAGGACTTGAACCACAGTCGGCCATGTGGGAGTTCAGCACCCTTAACCACCTGACCACCTGCTGGCTCCTGGGCTATTTTTTTTTTTTTTTTGGAGAGGTTTTTGCTATAGGGCACGTGCACTCGCCAGAAAGACAGAGACAGAGAGACAGAAAGCGAGAAATCACCCCCCAGGGGGGATGGCCACGCCGCAATCCCTTCTCCACTCTCCTCTCGGGATCTTGGGCAGGCATGCATGCGCACCCGGCGTGAGTTTAAGCCACCAGGTCTGGGAATCGAACCGTGGTAAACTACATGGAGTCCAGCCACATAGCCATTACGCCACCTGCTGGCCCCCTGGGCTATTATTTTTCACAGACATAATTCTTTGTCTCACTCTTCCTGTTCTCTCACCAATCTCCCTGTCCCTGACTCCCCACCGTGCAGCCCTGATGTCCCTTCCGGGTTTCCTCTCCTGCCAGTCCCAGCCCTGACCCCTGACCTTCCCTCTATCCCCAGGTTCATGTGCGCCCAGCTCCCCAATCAGGTCCTGGAGAGTATTAGTATCATCGACACCCCCGGCATCCTGTCGGGTGCCAAACAGAGAGTGAGCCGTGGTGAGTGAGGGGGACTCCTGGGGCTGGGCGCCTGGGGTCTCCGCCAGGCGTGGGCATGGCCGCCGGCTGGCTGGGCCGACACAGCTGCAGGCTCTGGCCCGGCTGGGCGGTTGCAGGGCAGGGCGGGGTGCTGGAATACGTGGCTCGAGCGGCGAGTCAGGGCGGGTAGAGGATGGAAAGGGAATGTTGAAGAAAGCGTGGTTTGAGGGCGAGGGTGAGGGCCAGGCGGTGGTGATTCAGAGAGGCAGGAGACCCCACTACGAGGCAGAGCCGTCTGGAGGCCACTGAGCGCTCCTGGCTCCGCGTCTGGGCCGCAGATGGGGCTGAGGAGGGGCTGGGTGGGGGACCTGGGCGGGGGCCAAGGCCCGGCCAGGAATTTATAAACAGCTGTGCAGGGGGAGCTGCGGGGGTGAATTCCAGCGGGGCCTCCGAGAGAACTGCCCCCCCACAGCCCAGTCCAGCCTGGTTGGGCCTCTGCACCCCCACCCCCCACCCCATCTGGGTCCCGGCCCGCCATGGCGGAGGTCAGGCACTGGGGCAAAGGAGACTGCAGAGAGTGGGGCAGAGGGGACCGGGCGGGCGGGTCGGGGTTGCCTCGTCCTGGGCTGAGGTCCAGCAGGCAGGCGCCCCTGGGGAGCCGGGCAGGAGGCAGCTGCAGGAGCGATTGGGAGGGCGTGCTGCCAGCCCCGGTGGGGGGAGGAATTCCTGGGGCTCCCACCCCAGGGGCAGGGCCTGGGAGAGCTGGACCGAGCTGGTCTCCCAGCCAGGGCCGGAGCCGGGTGGGAGGGGCGAGGGCCCAGGCAATCAAGGGAGTCGAAACGGGGTCTCGGTCCCTGGCCTGGGGGTCCTGGAGGAAGAGGTTGCCGTGTCAGTGTGGATGTGTGTTGGTGTAGGACTGCACAGCCTGGGAATGTGTGTCGCTGTGAGTGTGTGGCTGGTTGCGGGTGTTTTCTGTGTCTGTGTGACCACGGGTGGACGTGTGTAATTGTGGTCCTGAGGCCTGACCTGGAGCCGTGACTGAGCCGCGCAGCTGAGACCCGGTGTGTGTGTGAGTCTGTGTCTGTACGCGTGGCGGGGTGTGACTCAGTGGGACTGGGGGACTCTGGGGACCGTGTGCTTCTGAAACATGTGCGTGAGTGTGTGTGAAAGGGCATCTTTTCTGTGTCATGGGCGTGAGCCTGTGTGTGCCGGCGTGCGAGACGCCAGCGTGCGAGACGCCAGCGTGCGAGATGCCGGCGTGGACGTCTGCGTGCGTCCGGGCTGTGTGCAGTTGTCCCTGTGTGTGACCGCGTGTCCGTGCAGGGAGAGCTGTGGAGGGCTGAGGGGATGCTGTCAGACCGTGTGTGGCTGCGTGAGCTCGTACCCCAGTATGCAGTCGTGTGCTTGTGCGTGTGACCGCGCGTGATTGTGTTTGCGGTGCCTTTGGATCTGGGAGGGTGCGGGGGTTGTGAGTCTGGCTGTGTCTCTGCGGATGGCGAGGACGACTGTGGCTCTGTCCGTGGCCGAGTGTGGGTCTCGCAGGGTGTGTGTGTGTGTGTGTGTGTGACCACGAATATCTTGCAGGTGCCAGATTGTGAGCTGGGATGTGTCTGGGGCCTGCTTCTCGCAGTGCCTGTCTGATTGTGCCCAGGTGCGTGCTGCTGGGTGTCCTTGCGTCTGTGTGCGCTGACGGGCCTGCGTGGCAGCGTCTGTGTAGTACCTGCCAGCACACGTGTGTGGTTGTGGAGTCCTCTGGCAGGCTCTGATCTGGGCTCTGGTCCCTTTGGAGCCGTGAGGGCCTGGCAGGCCACTTAGGTGGTGTGCCCGGAGTTCTCACCTGTGAAGTGGCATAGTGGTACCGTGGGCCTCCCGGCCCGGTGGGGGTTAAGGCGGTTAACTGCGGAGTGCCCAGAGCAGAGCGCGGCGTGCAGGCAGCTCTGGGTAACTGCCTTGGTCGGGCTGGTGCCCTCGCGCCCGCCTCCCCCTGCCACGTCTCGTTCCCGTGCTGACTCAACCTCCCTCCCTCCTTCCCTCCCCGGGACGTCCTTCCAAACATCGGGAAAGGAGGAGGGCCTGGGCCCCAGCTGCCGTCCCTCCGGTGACCCGGCCCTTCCTCCCCCCAAACAATGCCCCTACCCCCACCCCGTCCTGTCCTGTCCCCAAGGCCCCACGGAACCTGCTTCCTCTGGGGGGGATGGCCTAGCACCAGCTCCCCTGGGAGCGTGGAGGCCCATGGGACCCCTGCCCTGTCACTTTCTACATAGGTGTCTTGAGTTGGCCTCAAGGAAACCTCGCGTTTCCTCATCTGGAAGATGGATCATACAAAGTTAGCCCCACCTGGGAGAACGGAAGTCAGGCCTCTCAGGGCTGGCTCCCCGTCCTGCCAGTCCGCTCCTTCTCCCAGGTCCCTGCTCAGCAAACCCTCCCCACACCCCGCCCCGGCCGGGTCGGGCACCTCTCATGCGCTCCCCGTTCCCACCTGACCTTACTGGGCATGGGCTTCGCCCCCAGCGGACTGTGAGCCGTGAGCAGGGCCGGGGCTGCCCGCCAGGCACCGCCGCTGGGTGGCTCCCGTGGTGTCTGGCACGCACCGTGGCAAGATGGTTGAGCCCTTACTTACACTGCTTCTTTCTTTCTTTCCTTTCCTCTTTTTTTTTTTTTTTCTCCCTCCCTTCCTTCCTTTCCTTCAGGGCAGCAGTCAAGAGGGAGGAGGGCAGGGAAAGTGAGAAATCACGCCCCAAGGAGGGTGGCCATGCTGCAATCCCTTCTTGTTTTTCTCTTAGGATTTTGGGCATGCATACACACGCGCCTGGCATATTTTTCAAGCCGCTGGGTGTGGGATTTGAACCACCTGGTCAGCCATATGGGGTCCAGCACCTTAACCACTGGCTGGGCTTGTTTCTTTTTTGTAAAACTTTTTTTTTTTAAGGCTGATGGTGCACGCCGGAGAGTGAGCACCATCCAACATTGGGTTGTACCCCCTCCCTAGCAATGAGGCCACCCCGACCCTGCGGCCTTTATTCCCCGATTCTTTATCCCATTAAGAGTCTGGGCATGCACGTGTGTGCCTGGCATGGTTTTCAAGCCACCAGAGTTGGGACTCAAACCCTGGTCAGCCGCTTGAGATCCAGCCTGCTCTGCCAACATTTACCTCTGTGCCACGGGGCTGGCCCTTCTTAGAAAACAGTTTTACTGAGGTATAATTTACATGCCATCAAACTCTTTTCTTTTTTATTTGCCAGAGGGTGCCTCACCATAGAGAGACAGAGAGAGGGGCCGTGGCCACACAGTCCTTCCTCCATTTCTCCGTCCTGTCGGGATCTGAGGCACACACATAGACGCCCAATATGTCTTTCAGGCACCTGGGGCCGAGACTCAAACCGCAGTCAGCCATGGAGGATCTGGCTCCTTTAACCACTAGGCTACAAGGCTGGCCCAAGTTTGCCCATTTTTATTTATGTTTTTATTTTAAATGTACTATTGCTGTAAAAATTTTATTTACTTTTAATTTGTTATAGGGTGCATGGACTCTCTGGAGAGACAGAGAAAGAGAAAGTATTCCCCAGGGGATGACCTTTGGGCATGCGGGCACATGTGCCAGCATGTTTTTCAAACTGCTGGGACTGAGACTTGAACTGTGGAGCCCTGTGGGAGCCAGTTGCCATAACCACGGTGCCATCTGGCTGACCCATTCGCCCATTGTTAAGCGTACAGTTCAGTGCCAGACATTGTTCTAAGCTCTTTATATATATTAGCTCATTTCTATCCTTTCCGTCTTGACCGCGGTCCTATGAGGTAGGACTGTGATTTACATAGGAGTTCAGAGAGGTTAAGCTATTTGCCTAAGGTCACACAGCCGATGGGGGCAGAGCAGGGATTCGGACTCGGGTCTTCCTGACTGCCACACACGGTTCTTAGTCATTCCTCTGCACGTCCAGGCAGTGCTTGGTGGTGAATGAAAGAGTGAACCGGCAAGGGTGAGAACAGAACAAAAGGCAGTGCTTGGTGGTGAATGAAAGAGTGAACAGAACAAGTGAGTGAAGAAATGAGCGGTGAAAGGGAGGAACGAGTGAATGCGAGCGCCCCTTCTGGAATGGGTGCTCTGTGAGGGCAAGAGCCCTGCTCGTGTGTTCTCTGTGGTGTCCGCAGGCTCCGAAGACGCTCAGAAAACAGTGTAGAGCCATTAACAATACTTAGTTAGCTTCTGCTAAGGCAGAAACCCTGCCCGGGCCAGCACGAACTCTAGTCTGCAGATTGTGGGGAATTCGACAGGTCTTGGGAAGCTGGGGTGACGGAGGCATTGGAGGGGCTGGCGGGAGGGCTCTTGGGGAGCAGTTCAGTAATTTAGCTACCTGTACACCCATACCAAGGCTCCCACTAACACCTGCCTAGTGAGCGGGTGAAAACGTTTTGGGAGGGGTGATTGTCCCTGCAGTCAGGTGGCTTGCAGGGCGGGCACCAGAGTGATGGGGGTGGAGGACTCCTGGAGGCTGGGAACCAGAGCAGGTGACACACTGGGACCCTGGCTATTTCCGGAGATAAGGATTTCATAGTTGACAACCTGCACATCCACACCGTCCCGGCCACTCTAAGGGATGGAGGCCACGGAGTGGCTTCAGAAGGGAGGTCTAGCCCGTGTCCCCTGTGCTCCTTCCGCCATCCTCCCCCTGCCCAGGCTACGACTTCCCGGCCGTGCTGCGCTGGTTCGCAGAGCGCGTGGACCTCATCATCCTGCTCTTCGACGCGCACAAGCTGGAGATCTCCGACGAGTTCTCGGAGGCCATCGGCGCGCTGCGGGGCCACGAGGACAAGATCCGCGTGGTGCTCAACAAGGCCGACATGGTGGAGACGCAGCAGCTGATGCGCGTCTACGGGGCGCTCATGTGGGCGCTGGGCAAGGTGGTGGGCACGCCCGAGGTCCTGCGCGTCTACATCGGCTCCTTCTGGTCCCATCCTCTCCTCGTGCCCGACAACCGGCGCCTCTTCGAGCTGGAGGAGCAGGACCTCTTCCGCGACATCCAGGGCCTGCCGCGCCACGCCGCCCTGCGCAAGCTCAACGACCTGGTGAAGAGGGCGCGGCTGGTGCGGGTGAGTCGGGGCGCAGGGCAGGGGCGCGGGGCGCGGGGCAGGGGCGCGGGCGAGCAGGCCCGGTGCTCTCGCTTTCCCCCACCGCCCTTACTGCGCACTGCTGGCCCGTGACCTCCCACCCCATGAGCTGGGTGTCTTCCAAGCGGTCATCCTGGCTCAGTGTGGCGTGGGGGAGGGACACAGCTGGGGACATACCACCCGCTTCCGCCGTCTCTGCCTGGTGCTCCTCCATCCATCTGCCACGCCTGCCTCTGCTCACACCCCTGTCTCCCAGGACCCCATCTCCAGGGCTGAGCCCTCACCTCCTCCTGGTGGCCCACAGGTTGCTCCCTTCCCCCACCCCTTCCCTCTCTAAGCCCATCAGGTTCCCTTCCCATCATCCTCTGCATTTCACGCTGGCCATGGCAGTCCCACGCAGGGCCTGTGCGCTTGCTATTCCCACCTTCTGGATCCTTCTCCTCACTCCCCACTGCTCCCCGGCCACTGCTCACCTCTCTCAGGTCTCTGCCTGAACGGCACCGTCTCGGAAAGGCTGTCCTTGGCCCCTTCCCCCTCGTTTTCTGACTCTGCCTGCCCCACGTGGGTCCTGCTTTCCCCCTCCCGGTGGTGCTGTTCTGCAGCCCGGCCAGGCTGGTGCTCGCTGCCGGCCACTGGGTTCCTGTCTGGCTCCTTCACTTGTATGTAAGCTCTGCAGACTCTTCCTCGCTGACCCAGCCAGGGCCCGGGCAGACCTGGTGCTCAGTAAATATTTACGGGTGACTTTAGACAAACCCTTGAATGTAACAAAGGCTGCTCTGTCCCCGGCCCTGTGCTGGGTGGTGTA